CCTCATAAGGAGTAATTGTCTATTGCAGGAATAAATGTTTCAGATTAGAAATTAAATTATTCCTATTGCTCTGCATATGGTCTGAGACCTTATAGCTCTCTCCTCTCCTTGGCACCTCAGGAGACTTGATCCCCAAGCTCAGCCCAGCACCATGAGGATCCCTGAGCTCAGGGGAGGAAGAAGAGGGCAACTAAAGTTCACTGTGAGCAGTGTCCAGAAGCCTTGCTGAGTTCTTTCTGGTCATATTAACTGGTGAAAATTTGTTTAGTTGCTTTTAAAGTAGAAATTTATAAGATAAAAATTACCATTCTTTTACTTTCATCTCTGTATCTTTGTCTCTATCTCTCTAATGTAACTGCACACATTTAAAGCTACATATCAGGACAGTAGCAGATAATACATAAGGTAAAATGCTTCTGTTTCATAACATCCATTTTTCTTTCCAAAACAGATTGTCCAATTTCTATTTTATTCATTTTTATTTTATGTAAGTTCATTTTTCATTCATTAGTCATGTATTTTTTAATAAATTTTTACAAAATAGTCAGATATGTCTCTATGCTTAATAAAATTATTCTTGTGACCCTCTGTGAAGTAAGTGTACACTGAAGAGAAGGCAATTATTTGAAATAAAGGAGTGCACACATGAACACTTCTAAAAGACAGAGCTGGGGTGATGTCCTCATATAGATGTCTCAAATTTCCCTCAGTCGTGTCTATAGAAATCATGGTCACTGTTATCCTGGGAAACTAAATACCTCATCCTCCTCACCCAGCTCTGCATTTCACCTGGTTCATCATCATCATCACAGCTGCATCCTGGTTTCAGGATCTTGTTTCCCATGGTATCTCTGGTATATCTGTTGTTTCCAGGCCTGATAATACAATCTCCCAGAATACTCCATCTCCTGAGACATAATTGGGTCCACACTATCAAATCTCTTGAATTCCATTTTCCTGGCGATCCCTGAATTGTTTAAAACTTGTGTTGAGTTTCATTGTGTTTCTAAGTTCACTGTGTTACTGAGTCCCAAGGTCATTTGCAAGTAAGGACAGTAGGACTGGGACTCATGGAAGAGAGCAATATGTCCAGTGAAGCTGCATCTGGATTTTGTTCCAGTAGGAAGTCAGGATAAGGCATTCTCCTTATTTCTAAATGTACAAAAATTCGTCCAAAAACTTCATTATCTTTTTATGGGCCTAGGAAAGAAATGAAATTGCAGGCTAAATAGTCGCAAAGCAATTCAGCAAGACAGGCAGATCTCAAATCACTGGTTGAGTCTTGTTTCATGCACAGGAGATGGAAACCCAGAGAGGAGAAAATACTAATGAGAGATGATGAAACCCTGGCACATGGAGAGGAGCAAGGATCACACAGAGACATGACACCTGAAGAAGCTCCTAGAATATCAAGGTGTGTTTCCAGTGTGATCCCTCAGAGCTGTGCAGGAAAGGAAAAGTGACCACTGAGAAATAAGACCCAGAACATTTTCTAGTGAGATGCTCAGGAAAGAACTTCTGAAACTTATCTAACATGTTGGAACTGAATTCCCCTAACTATAAACAATCATTCATTCTTCAAGTATGACCATAAGGAGTCAAAGTAGTCTATAAGGGAAATAAGTCAGAAGAAACACCCTGATCCCCAGAAAGGAGGAGATGTCAGGGGAAAATTAGCCACACATCTGGTGATTCCATGTGCATCTTGGTGGACCAGGATGATAGAGATCTCAACATGTGCACACGGAATCTCCATAGTCAGGCACAGCAGTGTGGTGAGCGTGCATTACAGCTGATGGAGCGCCAGGACCAGGTGCACCTGGAGCAGAATTCCATGAAGCTACAGACAGCAGAGGAGACAGGAGAGGACAGGGGATCCCTGTGCAGCTTCCCCTTCCAGCACTGCTAGATGCAGCTCAGGACCCCAGGGCTTCAGGCTCATTGCTGTCTCTCCTCTTGGTGTCATTTGAAAGATCTGTCTCCTCTTGAGGCTATTGGAACATCCAGATGAATCCATGAGAGACAGAAAGATTCTCACAATCGTGGCACACACATTTTTACACACATGTGGCATTTGGAGACAGAGGTTTGGATCTGTGTCCATGCCTAGGCTGGGTCCTAAACTCAGGACCAGAAATGACCAGTAGATGAAATATACCAGGAAATCATTCATTCCTTATTGCTGACAAGGTGACACTTATGGAGATGAACCAGATCATTAGGCAGCTCCTTGCTGGACAACCATGTGATAAGATATCGTGTCACCAGCATCAGTGGGGAATGCTGTTGTCTGCCCATCTGTCCATTTTGGGAATCCACTATACAGGTAGAGTTTCAGAGAATCCTGAGTGGACACACAGCCTCTGGACTCTTTCCTCTGCTGCAACCCCCTGCTACCATTCCTAGTAGTATCTGTTGCAGAGTCCTAATTTCTAGGCATGGGCCTATTCTGGAAGCACGTTCCTGGGCTCAGCCTAGGTGTGGGGTGCATAGACAACATCTCTTGCAAATACACTGGAGGCTGCACTAAAAGGCCCCATCTTCAGGTTATGCAATCAGGGTCATCTTTGACCTTCTTAGACTTTTCTTCTGAAGCGTATGATAGACAGGATGACCTGGAGATCCTTCCATGGAACACACCAAGGAAGCTGCAGCTGCAGTGCCCTAACCTGGAAGCTCCTTTCTCCAGGAGCCTTGCTAATTTATGTAAACAGTGCTTGCAGCCAGAATCCATGCAATGACTCATGTGCCAGGTGTAATGATTCTCTGGGCTCCCCATCCTCAACATCTGCAGCCTGCAGGTCCACGGTGTTCCAAGGACAAAAACCTACAGTGTAGATGCTGCCTGCATCTAATTTGTGTTCTGGAGAAAGTGAGTATGAGTCCCAGCGTCAGGGAGATTCCTGAGTGCAAGTGCAGGGCAGGGGCAGAGGTGTCACCTTCAAACTGAAGAATCATCTGTGCTGCAGCCTTAAGGAAAGGGTGATGGTTGGGATACTGAGCCACTCCTGTTACTGACAGCTGTCCTCCAGCTGGGGTCTCACAGAGTGAACTAGAAGACAGGCTGCTCCTCAACAAGTGAATCTAGACCCCTAGGCAGGGTTGTTCTTCAGCCTTTGCTGACCTCTGTCAGGGAAGCCTCTACTGAGTCTCAACCTGTCTGTTATGGTTTCCTTGAAGAGATAAGAGGCCTAGAAAGGGGGTCACTGTTCCAGGGCCATTCTGATTTTTCCAGAATTAAACATATGTTTAAAAATTGTATACCCATTACAACAGTTTTGTAAAATATGTGTATAAAATATAGAAATATTTATATTTTCTCATTGTATTTTAGCTCTTCAGAAATCAAAATACATTTTATGGTAAAATACTCAATTGTGTGTTAAGTAATAATGTTTATCTCTTTATGAAATGACAAATTTGTAAATTCTGGTTAGGCATATAGCCTTGATGGAAATGTATATGAGGATGTAAGAACACTTGACATAAAATATCACTTTGTTTATAGTGAGTCATTAAATTTCATATCTAGCTAATACAGAAATCACTCTTCACTAGTATCCATTTGCAATAAATGTTTTCATTCACTGTAGGTAGAAGAGGTAGGTATTAAACTTATTGTAATCTTTCTTTCTTTGTCTTACCTTCCACTGTCTGGTTCACTCCATGTCTAGATTCCCTTCTGTTTTGCAAAATACTCATCTACCTGTTTGGATGGTGTATGTTTTATTTTCTAAATTGTTTATATCTTGAAATTCCAGATGAGAGAAATTATGTGATATTTTAGCTCCTAAGTGTGGTTATTTCACTTAGTGTTATGGTGTCAAGGTGCATTCATTTTCCATGAAATGACATTCCTTGAATTTCTCTTTATCAGCACAGTGATACTTCATTGTATATAAATACTACATTAGCTTTACCTACTCATTTTAGTGTGTCTGCATAGACCACTTCCAGTGTATAGCTAATCAGGGTTGTGCTGCTGCATGGGTACCATAAATCACCAGATTATGATGGCTTTCACTCTTTGAGGAAAATGAGAAGAAGGAGAATACTTTGATCAAATCAAATGTTTAGTCTCATGTTTTTGAGGCATCTCTATACTGATGTATACAGTAGCTGCACTAGGTTACATTTCTCCTGAGAATGTAGAAGGTGTTTTTTGACCCAAAGCCTCACCACACTTTTTTTTTTTTTACTCATGACAACTGTCCCTTCTGAAGCAATATGGAATCTAAGAGTTGTTTGAATTTGAATTTCTCTACTGGCAAAGACATTGAATAAGTTTTTCATAAACTGATTGGATATTTGAGTTCCCTTTTTAAAGAGTTATTCCCGAGGACAGAAATAGCATAGGTAGGACTAATGCTAATCGCTCTGATGTGTTAATTCCCTTATCTAAGTGAAATGAGGTCAAAGGTAAAAGTAGTAAACAAAACTTTTAGAAGAACATGAATTTTAAGTGTGTTCTGCATTCCAACAGAATAGAATGTAAAAGAATTAGATAATTGTGCTATATGTAATCAAATAAGTTTTTTTCCCAGTCTTTTTGAGGCAGAGTCACACTATGTGATTAGGCTGCCTTGGGCTCACTTTGTAGCATAGGCTGGTCTTGAATTTGCAAGGATCCTCTGGCCTCAGCCTCCCAAGTGAAGCATCTCTCTTGGACCTGCTCAGCAAGCTGTTGAGTTCTTCTGTAGGATGGAACAGATACGATGAGTCTACAGCCTATGATGTCACATGTCACAGGATGTTATGCTTCTCATTCTACGTACACATCTGCAATGCTGTGAAGTTACCAAATCCACTAATTACATATTGGTGAGAATAAAAATAAGGTGAGGTTACACATAGGAAGGAACCATGTGTTCTGTAATAAAAAAAAAAAATCTCAAAACACTTTCATGTGCTTTGAATCCTTCCTTCTCTGAAGCTTTCAGAATAGAACTGGCCATATATACAGGAGGCCATGCAAATAGGGCCTCCCTGTGCTGATGAAAACCAGCCCAGCCCTCACTCTGCAGATCTTCAGAGGATCCCAGCACTGGATGCCCTTCTTTTCCCACTTGGTGATCAGGACTGAGTACAGAGAGCTCACCATGGAGCTGCCGCTGAGCTGGGTTTTGTTTCTTGCTGTTTTAAAAGGTAATTCATGAAAAAATAATAAATACAAAATGAATGAGTGGCACCAGTGAAATAAACAATAGACATGTGTCTCTCTGTTTGCAGGTGTTCAGTGTGAGCAGCAACTCGTGGAGTCCGGGGGAGGCTTGGTGCAGCCCGGGGCGTCCCTGAGACTCTCCTGTGTGGCCTCAGGATTCACCTTCAGTAACTATGGCATGGACTGGTTCCGCCAGACTCCAGGAAAGGGGCTGGAGTGGATCTCATATATCAGTAGTAATAGTGGTACCATATACTACGCAGACTCCGTGAAGGGCCGTTTCACCATCTCCAGGGACAACAGCAAGAGTACACTGTATCTGCAGATGAGCAGCCTGAGACCCGAGGACACCGCCATGTATTACTGTGCCAGAGACACAGTGAGGGAAACTTTACTGTGAGCCCAGACAAAAACCTCCGTGCAGGGGCGCTTAGCTCCAGCAGGGGGCGCTCGGGATACACGGAGCACAAAGTCTGTCCCAAGAGCACGAGTATTGAAGATTTTGTTGTTTTAAGTGGGCTTCCTGACATTAAAAAAAAAAAAAAAAAAAAAAATTGTATGGGGTAATAGAAAGAGCAAAGAATAATTAGTATCTAAACTATGTAAAATGCCAACTTCAACCCAAAATAATCAATTCGTTGTCTAATTGAAAAACCCTGAAAAGTAAGTAATCCAGTGCAGTATAATACTGTGACACAACTGGAAAATCCGAGAGCCCTGCTCTGGCTGCTGCGGGAGTGAGGACAGCGGATAGAGCCTCTCCCTAGAGTCAGCGCCATCTGAGGGCTGAGGCAGGAGAGAACTGAGCCTCACCCGGAAGCCATCCCCACTGGAAACCTTATTGCTTTAATTGTTTTGTTGGGTTGGGTTTATTGCTTTTTTTTCTGTGATTATGTTATATCTGATGGCAGGAACAGCTATTTAAAAGATAGCAAGACATGCTATGGTAACCATTTTGGATTTACTATCCACTTATTTTGAGGTTCTTTATCGCATCCATTGTTTTGCTTTTGTCTCTATTCTGTCCTGTTTGATTTTTAGTATGTCTGAAGGTATTTACAGATATTTACAAGACAATAAAAGGCAGAAGGGCAAGTATTGTTGATTTTGTAAGTTTTGAAGTCCTGTATCACTTAAACTGGTTTATTTTGATTGGTTTTATTGTTTTATTTTTCTCGCTTTTATCCTTTTTAAATATTTTTTTTAAAAAAATGGAAAATCCGTTGAGAGTTTTGTATTTTGTATTCTTGGCTTGGTGACAAAAAATCTTTTTGAATGTTTATAACGTATATAAACAATTAAGACATACACAGTGCAAACTGCACGAAAATCTTTAAATCCATGACCTTACATGTGTCACATAGGCAATAGGTTGGCTATGGTACTCACATAGCATAAGTCTACTAAGGTAATAAAGAATAAACAAAAACTACCTGTCAGCTTTATGATAACATACAAGTGAGTTTCCCATCTACCCACAGTGAAAAATTAAATCATGCTATAAGAAAATGATCTTATAATGAAACATTTAAATAGGAAATTAGTTCAACAAAATTGATGATGCTGAGAGCCAAGGCATTCAGAGATTTGAATAGTCATGATTTCTTTCAGTTGACCCCAACATTTGTCATCTAAGTTTTCAAAAGTTTGTTCTGAGCCAACATCACTGATAAAGTTCACATATTTATTATTTCATGAATTTACTTTTTTCCCATAAAAGATCATTAACAAATACCTCAAATTTCCAAGTATAATATGGTTGGGATAACGCTCAATAAAATCCTCATGTATTTTTAACTGTCATCACATGTGTTTTAATGTAAAATTATTCAAACAAACAAATTCTGTAAAAATCAAGATGGCACAGCACATATTGTAAATAAATCAGAAAACTGTATTTGTAAGGGAAAGAGAAAGCAGTGGCCCCTTAAACCAAGGTTGGCTGAGTACACAGCAATAGCTGTCACCTGTACAGCAAATCATCTGACAATGCTTCCAGATGAGAAGAGACAATGGAAAGGATGCTGAGAGGCCCTTGAGCTTCATATTGACCTTCAATGACCTTGACTGTAGGACTGTAAAGCTGTGGGAGAGGGAATGATTTGACAACTGGGAAACAACTGCCCCCTGAGATTTGCCATGCCTGGCACTGATGGTTAAATCCGATTTCCTCAGGTGTTAATGCTTTACGCACACATTATTATAATGGTATAATATGGTTGATATAACACTATATCAAATCCTCACATATTTTAACTGTCATCACATGTGTTTCAATGTAAAATAATTCACACAAACAAATTCCATAAAAATCAAGATGGCACAGCATATACTGTAAATAAATCACAACAACTGTACGTGTAAGGGAAAGAGAAAGCAATGGCCCCTTAAACCAAGGCTGGATGAATACACAGCAATGACTGTCACCTGCACAGCAAGTCATCTGACAACAATTCCAGGTGAGAAGAGACAATGGAAAGGATTCTGTGAGGCCCTTGTGCTTCGTATTGGCCTTCACTGACTTTGATTGTGGGACTGTGAAGCTGTGGGAGAGGGAACAAGTTGACATTTGGGGAGTTCACTGCCCCCCTGAGATTTGCCAGGTCTGGCACTGATGGTTAAATCTGATTTCCCCAGGTGTTAACACTTTACACACACATTGTTTCAAGTACAAACTGATTGATCTTCATGAGAAACTGCAATCTTCAACTGAAACATAGTTGAGTGTTTACATACTCGATGATACTATCTTCTCTGTGTTCTTTTCAACGGAAATCGGATGTGTATATATGCACATAGAATATAAATTGATTTTATGTGGTATGCGCATGCAACTATACATGTGTGATGTATGAACCTCACAGCCCTATTATCCCTGGGATCCATTTTCTAGTTTTCATATCTGCAAATCCATCTTTAATCTGTAAGAATACACAGCTCCCTGACCTAGCACTTCCATTACATGTCCTGTATGGAGTAGGAGGATTGGACCTGGGTCAGTGGACCTCAAGGACATCACTGAGTTCTCTGAGGGATCAGTCAGCATCTTTCACACAGAGGCAGTCCCAGAGAGATGCACATTCTTTGTCTCGTTTTGACCTTCATGTACAAGAAAGCACTACACATGTAAATGCTTTGGAAGTAAAACATAAACTCATATTGCACAATGACTTAATTTCTTTTGTATATCAATATTTAAGAGGTTCTTAGAAGTTTGCAAAGCTATTCTTCAGAAACGTGTAAAAATGCAGCTTCCTTATTTCTCAGGTGCTGGCTCCCATTTGTGTGCTCTGGAAAAATTCACACAGGATGATGTGAAGATGCTGCATCTGATCTCAGGACCCACTGGGTTCTCCCACCGTCCTGTCTGAGCTGCTGCTACAAGAGAACTGATTTGGCCAGGTGAAGCCCTCACAGTGACCCTCTCCCAGTTGCACGTTTTCTGGCTTTCAGCTCTGGGACTCTGCCACTGCAGCTGGATGCTTCAGCCACCAGAAAGGAAACTGAGTAAATGTGTCAAGATAATTGATAATGAACACACAGCTTGCAATTCATCCTTGACAATTCAGCATATCTAAAGATACAATCAAGAACAGATTCTTCGTGCAGCTGACCTCAGTATCCATGGAAAATGGATCATGGAAAATCCATGGGAAACACCACTGTGCAAGAGAGTTTTTGAGGGAGATATATGGGATCCCAGACACAAAGCTATGTGCAGAGTGGCATGGACCAGTAGAGGGCGCGCAGGACCAAAAGCTGTTTTCAACATCAAGAAGTGGGGGTTTTCTTGGACGAGGAGGGAACATATAGGACCAGAAGGAAAAGTTCTGGACTAGTGAAAGAACCCAGGGGATCTGCAGATAATCAGGAGTGGCCCCAGGAGGAGGTGCAGAGAAGGACGCTAGAGACTAAAGACTTCCTTTTAGTGTCTGAATGTCCCCTTTCTCAGCATCACACACTACAGAGAACGTACAGTGTGTCCTCTCCTCCTCACATATGAATTGTTCAGAGCCCAAGCAATGAAAGGGACTTGGTGGTGACAGATTACAGTTACAGTTGCATTTTTCATCTCCTTCATATGAATTCCTGTGTGATGACAATAAGAACTTAAATATATTGAAAAGTGGACCTAGAATCTCAAGAATTCACATGCTGTGGAATATACGATGCTCATGATCATCATTGTGGAAAATTAGCTAATTTTGTCACCTAGAAAATGGACTGTCTGATGCAGTAATAAATGTTTCAGTTGAGGAAAATCTACAGTAAAGGAAGAGACTTTATGGAATACAAAGCGAGAATTTTGGCGTTCTGATCCATTGCTTATCTTGACATTGGGCATGATTTTGTTAGCATTATCAAGTGGTGTGTTTGTGTAAAAATGCATCTCATTTATCTATCATTAACATTAATACATATACTTGTAAGAGGTACTTTACTGTAGAAAATTTGGTGTAAAGATAAGACAATAAGATGTCAGATTCTTGAAAATGTATTTTCAAAACTACTGCTTGCCTAGTCATTTGTGAATATAATGCAATTGAGAGAAATACTGTCAGGTTCGATGAGTAGAAGGAGATTTTTGGCAGATGTCATGAAGCTGACCATTTGGTCTTGGAACTGCTCCATCAGCACTTGAGAACTAAGGCAAAGATTGTAGGATCAAATGCATGGGAAGTTTTATAAATGTGCCTCCCATCTCATAAGTCATTATTATTCTCTCACTATGTTCACAGCTGCAAACAAATGGAATTATCAAATACATCAATTACATATAGAAGAAGTAAAACAGATGAGGTTATGTGCTTATCACTACACAGACAGATAGAAAGAAACCATGTATTCTGTAATGCTAGGGATAATCAAATCACCTCTCAAAACAATCTCCTGTGCTTCCCTCACTGAGATTCCCTCAGTAGAACTGATTATATAGCAGGAGAACATGCAAATAGAGCTTCCCTGTGCTGATGAAAATCAGCTCAGGCCTCAGGCTTCACCTCTGCTAGGAAGCCCAGCAGTGGAAGTGCAGGTGTTTCCACTTGATGATCAGGACTGAACACAGACAGCTTATCATGGAGCTTGCACTCAATTGTGTTTTCCTGCTTTTCATTTTCAAAGGTAATTTTTCAAAAACAAGTGATAGCGAATGTGCTAATAGACAAGAGTGTGATAAATAGAGGACATGTGTAATATATTTCTGAGCAATGTATCCCTGTGGTTGCAGGTATCCTGTGTGAGGAACAACTTGTGGATTCTGAGGCAGGCTTGGTACAGCCTCAGGGGACCCTGAGACTCTCCTGAGTGGCCTCGGGATTCACCTTCAGCAACAACTTAATGAACTGGGTCCACCAGACTCCAGGGAAGGGACTGGAGTGGATCTTAGCTATCAATGAATGC